TTAAAATATTAGTAAATTTTTCAAAATTTATTTAAAAAAAAAAATGATAAGTTATAAGAATATACGGTATGCATATATTATTTCAAATTTTACATTTTGTGAATTTAAAGCTTTCTAAAAACTCAAAAATAAAGCTATTTTAAACTAATTTAGCTTAATTATTATGTTATTAAGAAATATTATATTTTGCCTTTTATAAATTAAATAGGCATTGCACTCTAGTTAATTATAAGGAAAAAATGAAGAAAAAACATGAAATAATAAGATTTATTATAATTAATAAAATTAACAAATAATGAAAAAAAAACAAATCAATAAATAATGATGATAATTTCTATAATAAAAATTATTTATTTAAATAAATAGAAATTTAAATATAAAAAAAATATTAATAATAATAAAAATAATATTTATTAATAAAATAACCCGAAATCAATATGGAGAATCTAATGAGATAAAAGAGAAGAGCTTATAAACTTTTTTTATTAATTTATATAAAAAATAAAGGATATTAATAGAAAAATTAATAATTACTTCTTCTAATCTATTATATCTTTTAATCTATTACATCATTTATTTATTTTTTCAAAAATATTGTTTAGCAATTTATGAAATTTAATTAATTAATTAATTATAAATGGATAAAAAGAACAAATAAATATAATAATTAATTAATTATCAAATATTAATTTATATATTTGGTTTTATGAAGAGATAAATATCACAGAAAAATTATTTAATATTCATTATTTAAACTGAATATTTGTATTTAAAAGATATCTTAAAAATATATATAGTAGGAATTATAGATGGTCAGTTATTCATTTAGTTATATTTGAAAAAATTCTAGTAGTAAATGTTCTTAAATATTATAAAAATAATGTTTTTAAGTAGATTTTTCTGTTTAGCTCTGTATTTTTTTGGAATATTTATAATATCTCTAATTATTGTGCCTCTTATTAAGAAATAGATTTTTTTATTTTATAATAAAATTATAATTAATAATTTAATTTATTGTAATTTCTAAAAAAAATTTACATTAAAATTTTTAAATTTTGCTAAATTTTGTGAATTCACTGAATATAAAAAATGAAATTTTAAAGATTTGAATTAAATTAATAAATAAATAAAAACTATGATATTTAATTAAAATCGTTTTTTTAGATCAAATATGTATAAAATCTAATACCTTTATGGAAATATATACACATATATTAATTAATGGTGGAAAATAAAATAAATTAAATTCTTATTAATTATTTGGAAATCTCATTTTAATTATACTAATCGATGAATTTTTTTTAAAGTCGCAAGTTATATATAATAATTTTTTCCAAATTCAGTTTTTATAAGTTAAGTTTTTATGGTATTGATTGAATTTCTATTTTGATTGAGTTATTTTTTGATGTAAGGCAAACTCTGAATATCTAAATTTCTTAAACTTAGTTTGATTATGTCATTTTTATTTTTTAAGTCAAAATAATTCTTATCTATATTCATTTGAGATTCCACATAATTGCAAAAGAAGAATGTGAATTTTAAGGTTTATAAACCTCTTTTATTTCTTGCTAAAGATAAAACAAGCTAATTTAATTAATGAGACAAACAATATTTTTTATTTCCTTAATTATTTGAATCCTTAGTAATTAAGAATCTATAGCTTTCATTTAACAATTAAAAAATATTATTTTCAAAGAAATTTTCTTCATGATTTTAAGTTAAACATAGGCAGATATCCTTAGAATATTTTTGAACATCTAATTTAAGAGTTAAATTATTCAAATTAAATTTTGCCTTTAGTAATTCCAACGAGAACATTTTTATTTTTGAATAATTTTAATTTAAACTTTATTTTTTTTCAATAATTTTATCGATGAGTTTTTCGACTTATTTTAGATTTTTTTTAGCATCATTTTTATTCACAAATTTGAAATCTGATTTCCAAGGTTTTTAAAAATATTGATAAAATCTAAATTATTCTTAAATAATTATGCAATGAATATTTTCATATTTTTCAAGCTCATAGCTTAACTCTTTATAGTTTTAAAAGTTTATAGAAATTCTACAAGTTAATTTGTTATAATTTTTATTAGAAACAGTTAATATTTATTTACTAAATATTTAGTTCAACGTCTATAAATTTCTTAAATTTTAAAAAAATATTTGGATTTTATCATAAAACACTTATTGATTTGGTTCATTATTATAGGCTAAAGATTCAAAGAAATTTTATACTATTTGTTAAACTTAATCTGTAATGCATCTGTCAATATTTTTCAATGAAAATGATTGACTAAATAAACTTAGCAAATCAAACAAAGTCTTTGAATACTCTTATATAAGATTTATTTCACGTTGTATTCTAGTAACCAAAGAGAGTTAGAATATTTATTCACTAATAATAAGCTGAAAATCTTAAGATAAAAATATTTATTTAGGAGAAATATTTAATTGAAATAATATTTTAGATGAGTTTATTAATGCTGTTGCTAAATTCAGACAAACACTAAAATTTTTTTGCCTCTCCAAAAATTCATTTTAAGGTTAATAAAAATCTTAATCAAAAGAAACAAAATAGCTATTATATGCATCATCAAGCCAGTTATTTTGTTATCCATTATTAGATGTATTTTAAAATATATTTTATATTTAATCTATAAAACTTTTTTTTAAAGAACAGTCAATTTTCGAAATAATGTACACTCCTTAATTATTTTCTATTATTTTAAATTTAACATTAGTTTAAAAATTGATACAATTAAATGTATTAATTAACTAATTGTATTTTTCTAATTAATAGTTTGCTTCATTAAGTGTCAAATATCTTTGAACTTAAATTAATTTTGATTTATAATTATTACGTTTTAGTAAAAAACAATTTTCTTATTAATTGAGCTTTAAAAGTGAAAAATAATCTTGAGAATTAGTTATTTACTACAAAATAGTTTGTTAATTTTTAAAGAATAACTCATGATTTTATTCTATATCCTTTAAAAATTCTTTTTAAAGTAAATTTGTGAGAACAGGAAAGAAAGTTAAATTTTAGAATGACACTTTTGAAATAATCTATTTTTTATTATGTTGAAAAATATTTCGAGTTTACTTTGCTTCTTAAAATAGATAAGGATCTACAGTATTTAACTTGATTGTCAACTATCCTTCATGCTTTTAAAAAACAAAACAGGCCTTTGTTATAATATCATCATCTTCTAAATCTAATATATATGATAGCGGGTTAGGAGAAAGCGCTGAATTAGAATACTGGTATATTTCATATAAATATTACCTGAATTAAAACACTTCGTAATAATAAGAATGTATTTAAAAGTCTTCAAGTTAATCAAAATCTTCATATTCAACTAAATAAAAAAACATATTTTCATCAAGATAGTAAGAATCATAGATATTTAAAACAACACTTTTTCTACTTAAATATTAACTCTGCTAAGCATAACTTATAACTAAATCAAACGATTTATCCAATTAATCTTATGAAAATATTTCTAATACTTTTTTTTATTTTTCTTTATTGTCATAAATTTTCATTTAAATACAACTTAATTATTTTTCTTTATCAGAAAATATTTAATTATTATTATTATAGAGATATCTTTCTTTAACCGAATCCAATATAATTTCAAATTAAGGTTTGTTTTTTTCAAGTGAATCCAACAAAAGAAAAATTTCTGATTTGTAAAATTATTTACAGTTTTATTTTATCTTTTGCGAAATTTATAATTTATTCATTTTATTTTGGATTAATTTATTTATTGATTCTTTATAAAACATTTAGGTAACCTAGCTATCTTAAATATTTAAGCTATAAATTAGTTTTTATGGGTCTAATTGTTTATCATTTATTCATATTAAAAAAATGTAAATCACTAAAAAATTAAAATAATTTCTTCAAAAAGTGTAAAAATATGATTTCATTAACACTCACTATAAAATAATTAACTTTTATAATAACAAAATTATCTTTTAAAATTAAAATCCTAAAAAATATTTCATAACTCTCATTCAAAAAATGAATGAAAAAAAAATTAAATAAGAAATAATATAATGAAGAATAATTCTATTATAAAATCAAAAAAACAAAAAAAACAAAAGGGTTATAAAATTTTTAATGAAAATTGGCAAAAACTTAATAAAATAAAAATAATTGTGTTCACACTCTATATATACAATATATTGATCAATATAATTTTCTGACTTCTATCTAGCTTTACTAATTTTTTTAAGATTTTTTAATACAATTAAATAATTAATATAAAACAACATGTCCTGGTATTGAAATATCCAACATTCCTGTTAGTGATATTTCAATACCAGGAATAGCTATACTAGAATACATACTTTTTGTTTAATTTAAAATAAAAATAATTATCTTTGAAAATAAAAACAATAATTATAAATCCAAAAAATTAGCTTACATATTTGCTGATCTTTCAAGCTAAATATTTAGGTTAAAGAAAAGATTAATTTTATTCTTTTTAATTTCACTTACATTTTTAAAAAAGTTAGATGCTTCTTTTAATTTAGTTTAATGATAAAAATTAATTTTTGAGTAGCAAACATTTTTAATCAAAAACAAATTAAATTCAAAATAATAAAAAAAATATTTTAAAATAATTTAAGTTATTTATTAAAAACATCAAGAATATCATTTAGTTTTTATTTTTAATTCCTGCTTCAAATTTCTTAATAAGGATTAAGGAATTAATAAGAAAAAGTTTATAATTTCTTATCATTTCTTGTGAGATAGATAGTCATATATTAATTACTACTGTTTTTCTTTCATTTTTAGTTTTAATTAAAACTGATTAGTTTTGTAAAAGAATTAAAATGTAATAGGAGCAAATCTAAGTTTTTGTTAAGAAATCAACCAAATTTTGATCAGATTAAATTAAAAAAGGGGTTTAGAGATAATTTTTTTTTCTAGCAAGTATCAATCAATCAATAAATAAATAAGCAAATCAAAGCCTTTTTTCTATTATCAATAGATTTCTAAAGCGAAACTAATAACAATATCTTTTCTATAAAAATTAATTAAATCAAACAAAACAAAATAATAAGAAAAATAGATGAGAACTTTACTTAAATTTGTTGCAGTTGCTGCTTTAGTATCAACTTTATTGGTTGTTTCTTTCAGAGATTAAATTAATTTGAGAAACCCTGATCTTCCTGACTGTTGTTATATTTAAAATGACTATGGATACAATTATGTTAGAAACATTTGCGAACAAAGTATGATGTTTCACCTTAAACTTAAGAATATCAAAACTGGAAGAATATAATCAATTGACACCGAATGCATGTTCTAACCAATAGCCAGCTTTGACATACCTGAAGATAAGTTTGAAATCGTTGAAATCACTCAACAAGCCTGTTGATTTTATTATTAAAAATCTAAAATAAATTCAGTATATATATTTCTATATATAAAAATAACGCAAATACATACTTTCATATCTAATAAAATAATAAATTTTAAAAAATTTAGAAATTCATTTATTTTAATTATTTTCAAGTATTAATTTTTATAATTTTTAGATTCAATTATTCTTTATTCATTTTTCATTCTATATATATATATATATCAATCAATTATTAATATTAAATACAAAGAAATATCTAAATTAATTCATATATAAATTACATTTGAAGAAATAATTATATAAAAATTTTATTAAAAGAAAAAATATTTTTTTATTAAATATTTTAAAGTTTTAAGTTTTAAAAAATTTGTTTTAATTTATGAGTGAGTACTGACTGTATATACTTTTGTTTTATATTTTTAAATGCCTTTTAACTATTTAAGTATTTTTTATTAAAATCAAATAAATGTAGAATACTTAAAAATATAAAGCAAGTATGTAAGTATTTAATGATTACTTTCTTTATCCAAAAGTAAAAATATATTTACTAACAAAAAAACAAAGAAATTTATGGAGTTTTACTTAAGTAATTTAAAGTTGAAAAAAATATAAATTAGCATAATTAAAATTAAATAATTTAAAATCTTCTGCTAGCAACAAATTCATTTATTTTAAAATTTTAATGTGTTTAGAACTTAAATATTATTTGTTTTTTAATATTTGAAAAAAATATTCATTTTCACTAAGCAAATTAAAAGATAAAAAATTTTTATTTATAAGAATACATAGTGATCAATAAATATATCAAAAATCACCATCAACATCGCTGTCTGATTCATAAGCATCTTCTTCTATTTAGTATGAAATAAATCTTATAATTTTAAAAAGCTTAGTTTTAAGTTTTCTAATTATTGTTTAACTTAAAAGAATATTCCTATTTGATAATTATTAATAAACATTAAATTATATAAAATAATTAAAAATCATAATATTTATTTTTTCTAATTTAATAATTGCAATTAATTTTTTAAACTATAAATTTTTAAATTATTAAACTTTTTTAATCAAATAAATATTAATTAGAGTAAAATTAACTTTGTCTGGGTGGTATTTTTTTTTAATAATTAACTAAATAAAATATTTGCTGATCCGCTGATTTGCCGGTCTGCCGGTCAGCCGGCATCTGGGGCATATTCTTGATATCACATATATATAAAAATAATAATTTTTAATTTTTAATATTTAATAAAATAAATAAAATTTATATTATCATAAAAAGAAAAATTTAATTTAAGATGTATTCTGAGTGCATTTATATGTGCGAGTATTTCTATTCTATTCTATCATCAATTTTATTGTTACTTTTATTATTATTTTAAATTTTAAATAAAATAAATGATTAAAATAAAGATATTTTTTAAAATTAATAACTGTATAATTAAAGAAATAAACTAAATTTACTATAAGTCTAATATAAAAGTTGAAAGATTTGTGCATTTAGTCAATGCTGAGCCCAATTATTATGCTCCTTAATCACCAATTTTATTGTTACTTTTATTATTATTTTAAATTTTAAATAAAATAAATGATTAAAATAATTAAAGAAATCATAAAATTTAGGTTTATTTTACTTAAGAAAAATATAAAATCCCAAATAAATTATATTTATTTATTTATTTGATTGTTTATCTATTTGTTTAATATCTTAATTTAAAATAATGCATGCTTTTACTTTTTACCATCCATTAATTGAAAAAGTAATGAATGAATAAATAAATAAATAAACTGAATTTACCTTAAATTTAAAGAAAAAGTTTCTATTTGAGTACATGAACTAAATAATTGTATATTTATATTATCCCTTGAAGTTAAATAAGATAAAAGTATGTATTAATTACTACTTAAAATTATTAAATAATTTATTTATTATCAATTTATAAATACTAAAAAGCTCAAATATATAATATGCTTAATTTTTATAATTGATTTAAAAAGTCTTCAATAAATCAAAATTAATTTACCTTAAATTCTATATAAAAGCTTCTACTTGATTGTTAACACTAAACTAAGGTATATTTTTTTCGATAATTTAATTATGCCTTAAAATTAAATAAGATAAAATGATTACTACTTAAAATTTAAAAAGATGAAATATTTATTAGTTAAAAAACAAAATTATTAAATATATTATTTATTTTGAATTTATAAAAAGTAAAAAAGATTAGATAGATTTATATCTATAAATAACCTTTTTTATAAAATTTAATGCTAGTTAGGTGATAATTTTAAATGTTAGATATAAAATTATAATGCAAAAAACATTAAAATAAGGAAATTTACATTAAATTAAGTGTTAAGGTGGTAATATTAGTGTTTCCTAAACTAGAAAACAAACCTGACATTCCCTTAGTGCCAATAATATTGTAACTTATAGAATTTAAATTGATTAATTATTATTATGAATAAAAATTGGAGTAAGAGGTAATAAGTAACATTAAAATATTAGAAAATTTTTATTAATAATCTATAAAACTTAAAATAAAACTTCAATTATATTTAATATTTTCTTATTCCTTATTCTATTAAACCCAAATCTTTAAGTATTAATTTAGCAATTTAATTTGAAGAAATTTACTCTAACTCGAGTTCTAAAGTTAAAAGACTTAGACAATTAGCCAAACTATTACCCAAATCTAAAATACATTGATCACCAATTTGATTATAACTTTTAACATATTTGAAATTAGTTTAAAATGAATCAGTAATATTAAGTATTATAATGCAAAAAAATTGTTTTTTTATTAAAAGAGGAAAATCTTTGAAAGAAATATTTAATTTATTATTTTGATTATTATTTTTATGATTAGATAAGTTAAAAATTAATAAACTCAATTTACGATAAATTCAAGACCAAAACTTAAAGATTTATGCATTTTACTAGTCCAAAACCCAATAGCAAAGCTCCTTAATTACCAATTTTGTTATTCCTTTTTATATAATAAGAATTCTTAATATATATCTAAATTTAATTTTTGGTAAAAAAGTAAAAGGTTATTTAGATAAGTTAGATGAAAAAGAAGAGCATATTAAATAAAATTTGTTTATTTTAAAAAATAATTGTTTTTTCAATAGGTAATTAGATGTTAAAATTCACATCCTTTTCATATAAATTAAATATATATACTATGTATGCTCTTCTTATCTTTTGGTAAAGATTCCTTATCACAAAAAAATTTCCCTAACTAAAGTGCCTAGTTTTTTATGTTTTAATTTTTACTAAGCTATCTTAGAATTTATATTAGGGTATATAAAATCTAAGTATTCCTTTAGAATATAATTTATTTAAAAAATGTAATAGCTAATTAATTAATTTTTTTTAATATGAGATAAAATTAATAGGCTTAATTATTTACACAAATTAGAGATTCAAAGAAGATAGAGAAGCACATTTAGCTAATCCAACAAACAAATAAGAAGCTCCCTAATGGTTAATGTTATTTTACCTGGATTTTATATTATTTAAAATATTTAAATTTTAAAAGTAATAAAGTAAATAAAAATTAAATTTTAATTTTGAATAATCTAATTATTATTTTCACTTAAATTGAGTAAAAATAAATAAAACCTACTTACTCTAAATTAAGTGTCAAATTCTAAATATTAGCGAATTTTGTTAATCCTGTACCCAAAGCAGATAATCCGTCAACTCCAATATGATTATATCTTATTTAGTAAGATTAAATTATTTAAAATTTTAAAGAATTAAATCTAAGAGAGCTAAAATTTATATTTGATTTAAATATTCTTATTTATTTTATATTTACCTTAAGTTTAAGTTTAACTCACAAAGATTAGTGCATTTGGTTAATCCAGAAACCAAATTTATCAATCCTTTATTGCGAATATTACAATACCTTTTAATTAATAAAGTAAGAAGAAAAAATAAGCTGTAATTATTAAAATATTTTAAATAATGTAATTAGAAATATAAATAAATATACATTTAATGAATTCCAAAATTTAAATTCAAAAAAGAGATGATTTACCTTAAATCTAGTGTTAAGTTCTATAGATGAGAGAAATTTTAAAATACATAGCCTAACTACGAGGCACCTTACTCGCTAATATTGTTATACCTTTTTATAAATTATATTTTAATAAAATATTTTTAAATTTTAAAAATGGTAGAATAAATCAAATAAAAGGATATATGAAATTGTTTTTTATTTTATTATAAATTAAAATTATTTATTTAACTAAAATTTATTTTTAAATAAAAAATAACAATTTTATTTTTTGAAAAGTAATGATATGAAACAAGAAATAAATGAAATTAATTCAATGAACCTTAAATCTAGAATGAGATTTGTAATCTAAGAGCACTTTGTTAATTCTGAAGCTAAATCTGATACTTAGATGTTCTTATTACTTATTGAAGTATTTAATTATATTAAATAATAAGATAAATTATTTAAATTTAATTAATTAAAAGTTTTATTTATTACCCTAAGCTGATATGAAGACAAGTATGACAGGATAAATTAGAGTTTAGAAGCTTTATTTAAAAAAAAAAATGTAAATTAAATATTAAATATAATAAATTATAAATTACATCTTTTAGATCATCAAAATATTAATTCTATTATATCATTCTTTTTTAAAGTAACAAAATTATTAAATTTATTAATTAATTAATTAATTAAAATCCAAACTATTAATTATTATTATTTTTAAATGAAACAAAATTTAATAAATAAATCATTAACTAATCTGAATACTGATTCAATATAAAATTACTTAACCCCTTTTGCTTATATTAATGATTTAAAAATCTCACTTTTTTAGATAATTTTATATTATTTCTAAAACTTAAAAAAAACTATGAAGTTTTTAACGAAATTTGTTAAATTTTTATTAATTTCCAATTTAAAAATGTTTTATTTTATAATATTTATTTTTTTATTTAATTGATAATATCTATCCTAGAAAAATCAGTATTTATCATAAATCAAAACAAAAGGGGTGGTAAAAATAAATATGAAACCATTATTTGAAACAAAAACAACTTTTATCAACTGGCCTTAATTTATTATAATTTACAGTATTTATATATATCCTAAAGACCAAGAAGTTTATCACAATGTTTGCTAATATCCAAGCTACTAGATATTAAACTAAGCTAATTTTTAAATTTAAATAATATTTTTTTTTTAATTTGTTCAAATTTATAAATACTTTAGATTGAAATTAAATAAAGGGTATCAAGATGTTTAATAAAAATTTATTGAGAACCAATTTAATATAAATGAATGAATATTGCATCAAAAAACTTTAATAGGAATAAGTAAACTCTAAGATAAAAAATAAATAAATAAATATAAAAAATAAAAATGTAAATTTTAATTAAGTCACAACAAACAAATATGAAATATGCTTCATATATATTTTGTTAATTTTAACAATTAATTTTTTTTTTTGTTTAATTCCTATATAAAATATATAAACTTTTAAAAAAAATAATTCAGAAACAAATTAATAAATTAACAAGTCTTTTTAACTTCTAAATTTGATTCTTTATTAGTAGTTTCTAATTAATTTAGTTCTATCTATTGATTTTATATTAAGGAAGTATATATATTTTAATATTAAAATAGAAAATAATTAATTTACTATAAATATAAAGCCAAGTTAAGTAGTTTTGATAATTTTTGTTATCTAGAAAATAAATTAAATAATCCTTTGTCTCCAATTAAATTATTCCTAATATTAATATAAATAAAAGAAGTTTAATATAGCTTTCTGTATTATTATTTTACTAAAGACTTAACTCTAAATTATAAAGATTCATTGATTTTCCCAAAACAGACCCTAAATCAATCAAGTTTTTATCAGTTAATTTATTATTTCTAAAAAATATATTTGATCAGTAAAAAATAATATTAACTAAAATAAAATTATTTAAATTATTAATAAAATAGTATTGATAAAATAATGCATATGAATTACGAAAGATTAATCATTAAACTTTAGATTGCCAAGCAGTTATTTAGAGCTGATGCTAACTATAATAATCCTTTATCAGATAATTTGTTGTCTCTTAATATAAATTTTTTTAGTATAGATAAAATAAATTAACTTGTTTATTAAATTTTAACTATTTTACTAAAAATTAAACCTCAAAGCTTTTAATTCATTTAAATTGATTAAAGTTTAGC